CCCGTGGGGGCCGCTTTTCCCCCACCCAGGGCTCCCGAAGCCCCTCGGATCGCACCGTTGGGGGCAGAGTGTGCCCAGCCAGCGCTCCCGAAGCCCCTCGGATCGCAGCGCTGGGGGCAGAGTGTGCCCAGCCAGCGCTCCCGAAGCCCCTCGGATCGCACCGTTGGGGGCAGTGTGCGCCCAGCCAGCGCTCCCGAAGCCCCTCGGATCGCAGCGCTGGGGGCAGAGTGTGCCCAGCCAGTGCTCCCGAAGCCCCTCGGATCGCACCGTTGGGGGCAGCAGGGCCCTCCCTCAGCGCGTCCAGTCCGGAACTCCCTGCGGAGCAAGCCACGCGCCTGGTCCTAGCTCCGGGGCCATGAGAGGGGCTTTGCTGTTGCCATGGCGAGCTTGGGGTGCCACGCCCCAGGACGCTCTATGCTCGTCCTCGGGCCACGTGCTCATAGCCAGGGCGCCCGCGCCTTTGCAGAGTGGATATGCTGCTCTGCAGTGGGCCCCTCAGCCTGCCCCAGCGTCTGCGCTGTGGGTCAGAGACTGAGCCCTGACCCAGAGCTGGGCAGCACCCTCGGGGGTCACTGCTCATGCATCAGCTGGTGGAAGGGGAGCACCGAGGCCCCTGAGCACTGCAAAGCCCAGCACCCTGGGGGGTGCACTCTGCAGCTCCCCCAGTGCCAGGAGGCCCCCGCCCCTTGCCAGCTGGCTGGGTTCTGGGATCCAGGGCGACATGAGAACAGGCCAGGCACACGCTCCCTCTGTCCCGGTGTGCTCCGCCCTTAGGCACTGGCCACAACCTCATGCATGGAGCAGCCCCTTGGGTTCCCAGTGCCCTTCTGCTGGGCTGGGGGCGCTAGCCTGCAGGTGGCCGTGGCCGTAGAGCCAAAGCCGGCGGCTTTCCCAGTGACCGAAGCTGCCTAAGCCGGAGCTGAGAGCTGAGGCATTTTGCTCCTGGATCGTCTCTGCAGTTGGATAAGAATAGCAGCGGCTTGTGGTGTCTCTTCCCTCGGTCATTGCGTGGTTCAGGCAAACCACACTCGGACCTGCCCTTCCTGGGCGGCTCTGCAGCCTGGGCTCCAGCCTCGCCCCTCCCTGGCCCAGCTAGCTGCCCAATTGCCCCAGCAGACAGGCGGCGCTTCCCGGGCCCACAGCTTTTAGTTCCCTCCTGCATCGCGGGGCACCTTGACTGAGCTACAGGAAACGTTCTTGTATCTGCGCTGCTCCATCCTAGGCCTTGCCGCCCTCCCCAGCATCTGAGCGCCTCCCAGGGTGGTGGGCGGACCCTGCCCCGGGGGCCGGGCAGCCAGGGGAAAGGGGGGGCTTGCTCCCAGCCGTGGGCTTGGAAATCTTTGGGATCTTCTGCTCGCGGACTGTCCCGGTCTCCTGCTGGGGGGTACGGAAGGCCCCAAGGCTGCCACGGCCCTGGCAGCCCCGCTGGTCCTCCGCTCCCCACTGAACGCGATTCCTTTCCAGCATTTGGGGTTTGCTCCCTCGCTGCTCCCACCCGGCACTGGGTCCCTGCGGCCCACTTTGCCAGGCGCACTGCCCGGCAGCCAGAGCTTGGCCCTGCCAGCCTCCGGGCCGAAGAGCGCTCACTGGAAGGGCCAGCCTGTGGAACAGCACAGGCCCCATGGACAGTGTCTCCCCTTCAGGGCTAAGTGCGGGGCGGGGGACCGGCCTCAAGGAGTCACCGTTCCCCCCTAACGACCCTTAGAATCTACAGGAGGACAAAGGGCCCCTCTGTTAGCCCTTTAGCACCAGTGACAGGGCTGTGCCTGTTGGGAGGCCGGTCCCACACCCTCTGCTCTGCGTGCTAATGAGGCCCCTCAGTGGCTTCCTGGGGCTGCTGAGCCCCAAAGTCTGCCAGCCCGCTCGGCCGCGCTGATCCCCGCTTTGTCCTCTCTTTCAGCTGCAGGGGAAGAGTCGGGCCCCCAGTGAGGAGCGAACTGCACGGCCGCCATCCGGACGTAGCAGCTTTCCTCTGCGCTCCTGCCCTGCACGGCTCCCCTCTCCTGCCTGCCTCCGTGCTCCTCGGGCTGGGCCAACGCCAAGGGCTGCGTCGGCATGTCCAGGTGCCTGAGAGCCCCTGGCCTGTAAGGCGAGGCGTGCCCAGCACTCTGCCCTCCTCAGTACAGAGATGGCAAGCCACTGCCTCCCCAGCCACTCCGCCAGGGCGAAGGGGGACCGTGACCTGTCTTGCATTCGACAGGCCCCTCAAGCAACTTCCTGGTGCCCGTGCGTCTGCCTGTGGGGAGGACCTGCTGTGGCCAGCACCCAGGGCTCCGGTCCCTTTCCGGGCCCCGTGCAAAGGGGCGCAGGTTACACAGCCTGGTGTTGGTGGCAAGCCACTGCCTCCCCAGCCACTCCGCCAGGGCGAAGGGGGACCGTGACCTGTCTTGCATTCGACAGGCCCCTCAAGCAACTTCCTGGTGCCCGTGCGTCTGCCTGTGGGGAGGACCTGCTGTGGCCAGCACCCAGGGCTCCGGTCCCTTTCCGGGCCCCGTGCAAAGGGGCGCAGGTTACACAGCCTGGTGTTGGAGGGAGCTGTCAGTGTTTGCACTGGAGCGTCTGTTCCAGCCCCAGGCTCCCTGGCGGGTGACTAAGTGCAAAACTCTATTTTTGTCCACAGACTGGTTTGCCCGGTTCCTGGCTGAGTTCATTGCGTTTCCAGCACCCAGGGCTCCGGTCCCTTT